GGCCGGGAATTGAACCCGGGCCTCCCGATTGCCGGTCAGGTGTGCTACCATTACACCACCGAACCCAGGACATTCAGTCGTGCCTCTCAACACTGCCTTCATCACACTCACACTATGACATCTCATTTTGAAAGATGCTCCCTGATTGTGTAACTCCCAAAGAAAGGCAACTTCAGGCACATTCTTCTTGGGAGTGGTGGTCTTTCATGAGTTCAGAACAAATTGTCATGAGTGCAACTTGTGCTGGGGAGGTTATGGGTAAAAGGAAAAAAAGGTTTCCGGTACCCATGCCCTATTTGCCTTACAGTTGGGATGCAGAGATTGCTGTTTCCTAGTCCTGATTAGAAGATGTCATAATTGAAAAATGGTACTTAAATGAATCTTATTGCAAGGTTGGTGAGGTAGGCTGTGAAGGAATGGGAGGAAGCAAGAAAGAAAGTTGAGTTATTAGAAAGAAACGACTGTATTCTGGAAATCAATATTGGTGTTAACCCTTTGATGAGTGTTAACTTAGTACTCCTAAGATGTTCAGAAAGAAAACTCCATTGAGCCATTGAGCATATTACCTTTGTTTCATGAATAGTTGTTTCCTTTGTGCCTTTAGTAAATGCAAAGTGCTCAGCAGTTGCCATGGGACTAATGTGCTCATGGTGTTGTAGTCATTTTGTCATCCATTATCAGTGGCTTGAGTGTCTCACAGATGCATTCATTTGCTGAAATGAACATATGAGCTTTCAGTAAAGCTAATTTTCAGATCAATTCCTGAAGGTTTCGAGATGATTAACTTTTGATCTTTTTGACATGAGTTGTGGGTGAGTATGTATATAATAATTCTTTCATTCGATTTTTTACATGCAATTTTTGTCAGTATTTATTGATTCCATTTTCGTTCATCGAGCAGCTCGAAAACGAGTCGAGCGGGGCGGAAGAGAGGATTCGAGATCACGTGGTGCCTTGCCTGGGGAACCTGGCCCTTGCAGCTGGGCGGGACTTCCTCTGGAAGCCCTTGCACTACCACATCCTCCTCAAGGCTCGACATCCCTCCTACCACGTGAGTTGCTCTCTGTCTTCTTGAAAGGGATAGAAGATGTCCCATTTGGTGTGGCATCATTCTGCCCATCGATCTTCAAGCCGAGTCAGGTTCAGGAATGGTTGTGGAAGGGAGTCAGAGTGGCAGCATTCATTTTGCGATCGATTTTGATATCCCGTTTACTATGAAACTGCTTGGATGCTTTTATAATCTGGGAACTCCTTGGAAGAGAGTGGAGAATGGCATTCATTACTAATGTGCCATTCTGAAAATGGCTTATGATGCTGAAATGTTCTATGAGGGGGAAATATGCAGCCATTGTTTCACTCAAATATGGCTTGAAATTATAGGTGCCTGCTTTATCATTTAAATCCTGGTGGAGTGTGATCCATGAATTTATGTGGCAAGATGTAACTGGAGCTGTATTACTGGAGCATCATCTATCCTATCGAGGTACAAATTGGGTCATTGGGTGTGGTATTTTGAGTTTTTTTTCTCCAACCCTGCAGTTTATCGTCTCAGTGTATTTCACTTAGAGTTTTTGGCACTGAATTGATTTACTGCTCATAGGGCTTCATCTGAAACTCACATTTCATATCTATAGGGATCAACTTCGAATTTATCAAGGTCAATCTGTTGGAACATTTCTTGGAATTAAGACTGGATCCTCATCCTTATTTCGGTTCGGTATTTCAGAGCAAGGCATGATGAGCCCTTGGTTTTTTTTCCAAGCCTATTTTTTCTCGACAAACAAGGAGGGATCCAATAGGCCCACTCAACACATAATCATGAAGTATCATTAGAAGTAGTTATTATTATTTAATATTTTGAATAATTATTTCACTCTTAAATTTCTGCTCGATGTGACAAATCTGAATCAGGGGCTCCACCCAAGTTTTTCGTAGAAAATGGTTACTATGACAACCAATTATTTGTCTAAATATGGCTGTATCATTGTGACAAGAAATATCGAAATTAGAGGTTGATCTGCATAATGGGTTAGATTATGAATATTTAATACAAAAAACTATGAAGCCATTTAGGAATAAATTCATGATCGGAATGATTAAAATGCAGTAGGCAGAATTTCCTTGTCTCATGACAAAGTTTCTCTCAGTGCTTGTTGGTATACTACTGCTTCAGACTTCGCTAACTATATGCCAAGTCTCACCGATGTTGCTAAATTTTGCTATAGAGGGAGATTCTCATTCTCAATATTAAAAAAATCAAAGGGGTGCTTGTTCATTCGTTCTCTTCAACTGCCAACCATCTCAATTTTGCCAAATCCGCACTCGAGGACTGGGATCATGATGATTGAATTCGATCAGGTGCGTCTCCACGCGATCGCGGCGAGCCGGGCCGTGATGACGAAGCTGGGCCCGGACGGGCTCGTGCTGCTCCCGGACGCCATGCCGTTCTACTCGGAGCTGCTGGAGGACGAGCACGTGGAGGTGGAGGAGGCGGCGCAGCGGCTCATACGGGACCTGGAGACCTCGCTCGGCGAGGACCTGCAGCAGTACTTTTGATCCGGGCCTTTGTCTTTTTTTTTCTCAATGAAGGATTTTGAGATGAGTACCTGGGTTTCTGTCGTCGGTGGGGCATTTGAAAAATAAATTCTGGAACTCGATAAAAAAAAAATTAGTTTCTGAGAGCACTGATTCAGAGTTGACGAAAAACACTGCTTTTTCGTCGACTTTTGCAGAGCTATTGATGCTGTTTGCTCGAGCGTTCCGTCGTGCAATCCACATTCAGTTATGCCTTTCGTGAAGTTTTGTTTCTTGGGGTGAGGAAACAAACGCGTTACAGAATGCCTCCTCACAGGGCCGCATTGTTCTTAAGCGGGTCCGCGACGTAAGGTCTAATCGTGAATAGTCCAATAGTCAAAACGTCCACAGTATAATTGGTTCACAACAAGAAGGTCCAGAGTCCAGATCGGCTACAGGTCAGAAGGAGCAATTGCATAAAAGTCCCAAGTTAGTTTTCCGTCGTCTGCGAGAGGAGTTCCTCCCGATAGCTGACAAAATTGCTCATTGTGGACGATTCCACGGATATAGTGCATTAATTCGCGGTTTTAATAATATTGTACTTTTGACTTGATTCTTCTTGAATTTTTATTCGGCGTCGCTCCTTTGGAGGATACCGTGCCGCTATTCGATCTAGTTCCCGCTCAGTGTTGGCTTGTTCTTTCTGCAATTCCTGAAGCAGAAGGAACACGCTTATATGTGATTCCTTGTTGAGGAAATTAAGCCTCCTATGCCAACCTTCGAGACCAGTCGTTGCTCTTGGTTCATCTTTAAGTACCCTGGTCCGGACGTCATCATTCTTCCTCTCACCCACCTCTAGCCCACCGTAGCAGAGAAGTTGGGCTCTCATTGGTAATATCTTAGACACGATGCCGTCCGGGCATTGTAAAACGTAGGATTGAGGGCTGAATGCATAACTTTAGATGTTCCGTTCCCCTGCGTAGGTTCGATAACATCGTCTGTTCGAATTCCTGTTATTTTCTCTGCGATGCCGTCGGCAATCCTATACATTTCCTCCTGCTTTATTCATATTTTGCGCAGACGAACTTTGGAACATTTAAAGACGATGTAGTATCTAGACAAAATGGCAGTTAGACCATATGTCCTTTCTCCCTTTTGTCCATTGTACCTTAATACCATTCGACCATTTGCCTTTAGACGACATGACACGCACCCGATCTTAAGCCCTTGTTTGATGGACCTTCATGTTCTGCGCCGCATGGTTGGCGATCGTCGTGAGAAACCAGTCGATCCCGGAAGGAATTTTCGACTTGGCTTCACTTTCTCTTCATGTATTCCATTAATCTCTTCTCACGAACTAGTATGCTCTAAGAGGCCATATGTGCAATCCACGAGTCATTCTGCCGTGCCAATCATTAATTGCAATTTTAACGTGAAATTTGGCTCGACTTGGCAGAGGTGTAATGATCTCATTGCGGTGTTGGAACATTTAACATTGAAATAGGAGTAGACGCGCCATTGAATGGGTAGAATGAACTAGGGTATTTTAACTGGAGAAATTGCTAAGTTTAATCAGGTGTAAGAATGCCCATATTCAGATATCTTGGTCCGCCATAAATCGATTTCCTCTGTCTAAATTCACTCGTCTTCATTCTCAAAAATTAAAATAAAATACGGGAGTAAATTATTATCAGATGCTTTCAGACTCCACAAGGTGAAGTGTCGGGGTCGGCCTTTCCCAGATTCGAGCCCTTCGAGAATTCCAGCTCGCTCGTGGTGGTCCAGACGGCGGGTAAATCGTCAGCCTGCGGGGACAGACCGCGGAACTTGTAGGTGCGGATGTTGATCTTCATGTACCTCTTCAGCCTGGCCTTCATTTCTGGGACCCTGTAGCAGTAGAAGATGAATATCCCGATGCCCTAGAAAAAAATAGAGGAAACCTGTCATTTCCCTGCAGTCCTGTATGACTTGTGAAGCGTTACCATCGATGGTACCGCTGATTCACCTCCTCATAAAAGCTCTCGAAAAGTGTTTTTAACCTAGGTTGGCGTCAGTCTCAAGGAGGACTTCTGTTTGCTTTTAAAACTCGTATATTTGTCATCTTTTCTGAAAACGGTCCACTTAATTGGTAAAGCAGCGAGGACAAGAGGAAGGTTAAATATTTTCCAAGTAGCCAATGACGGAATAGTTTATTTTATTCAATTGCCATCTGTCGCGAAAGAATTAATGCTTGTTTTACGGAAACTGATGAGACGAATCTTGGAAATCATAAAAAGTGAACATGCAGAGTTGCACTTTTTTTTTAGTTTTTAAATTTAATTAATCACTGTAATTATGCTTGCCTCCTAGCGCGATTTTCCTTGCTCTCATTGAAGCGATCTCTCGCAATTCGACCTCACTTTTCTTACTCCTGCCCACACGATTGCCACGAAGTGACGAGAGGAGATTTGAAGCTCGCACCGACCTGGCACCCATTGATGATGACGAACGCGTAGGAGAAGACTGGCGACAGCTCCATTTGCAGAACGCCAAATGACCAGCCGGTTCCGAGGAGACTCGTCAGCGAGAAGATTCTCGTCGTGTTATTCCTGCAACCGAGTCGCGGCAGGTCGGTCGGTCCGAAGGGGGAACGCCACGAACGCTGCACGGACTCACCTGTGACTCCTGTTCGCCTGATGCTTCTGCATCCCGGTCGGCACCTTCTGGAGCTGCCTGGCTTTCGTCATCACCCGCACCATGAGGACGGTGTTGAGGACGAGGATCAGGAGGACCGGCGCGGCGAACGCCCAGATGTAGCCGGACGGGGAGAGCCAACAGCTGGGTTCGTAATATCGATAAGTGCAGAAATCGTCAACTTTTGCGGCGAAAAAGGGAACCAAAGATGTCAGGATTCTGCACACGTTATGCTCGCAGCCGTTTCGTTTGGTTATTTTGGTAAATATCAGGGGGAAAAAACTTGAAACCTCTTGGAGCTATGAATTTCCCCTGTTGCACTTGCTTTCCCCTGAGATATTACAAATAAATGCCTCTCGGTCCGAGATGACCGCCGGATGACCAGACAAAGTCTGGTACAAAGTGGAAGGATCACGTCGCAAAACCTCGTTACCCAAAGCCCACCGTCCCACCTGCCGAGTCTCAGTCCGGCTCTAAAATTCAGAGGGGAGGGAGCTTCGCTTCCTCCCTCTCCTGGGTGGGAGGGAGAAAGCGAAGAAGCCTCGCGCCTGCTCGTCTCGATCGCCTGGACTGCGATACTCCGCGCCTAAGAAGACGGGAACTCCATCGCTCATTTTATGGAGGTCTTGTCTTCTCTTCGTTTCGCCCTTACCTTCCGCCCGAAAAGGGCGGAATGAATGAAACAAATGAAATATCGAAGCAGTCATTTCCGGATTCCTAATAGGCCACAGATGCACACAGATTATCTCCCTTTTCAACCCCCAAATTGCATAAAAATGTGAAAAACATGAAAACACCCCATTCTTGATCAGAGTAGGCATCGATCAAAGGTATGACGAGCCATCTTTGTAACACTCGCTCACGGATTTGTTCATCGATTGGAATACATCTGCTCCATACATAAGACCAGCAGATGAGTCGGTAGACCTCGCAAAAGGTGGAATGACATTTTTATTTTTTGATACGAGAGGTTCAGTTGTTCGGCTTGAGTCCCGGGATCGAGAGGATTAGAGGATACTCGAATTTTTCTGCTCGAATTATTACCCCATTAAGCTAAAAGGGGCAGGAACAAAATTCATACCTTCCTTCGAGATGGAAGCTCCACACGTGCAAATCGTTTCCCTGAGCAAATATATTTACGTCGCATGAAAGGTCCAGCCGTATGCGAAAAGAAAAAGGCTCACGATTCCCCGTCGCCGTATCCTCTCGTCCCCGTGCCGTAGGAGACCCCCACGGTGACGCCGACGACGAGCACCGACACCGCGTACCCCGTCGAGAGATGGAACCGAAACGAGACGAGCCTCTTCTGAACCAGGTGGAGCAGCCCGTACAGACGCCAACCCTCCAGCGCCATCCACGCGAAGGCGCAGAGGAACGCGAAGTGGAGGGCAACCCCCGACGTCTCGCACGCCGGCCGTCGAGGACGATCGCGCGAGGACGTTAAGATCGGACGTCGCGCCCGCTCGGGACGGCGAGTCGCGACGTACCGACGGCATCGGGAAGAAGCGGCGGTCGACGACCGATCACACCAGGAGGTATCCGACGAGCAGCCAAGCAGCCAGAAGCACAGCTGCTGGTGCAAGTTCGGCCCCAGATTCCGTTCCTTCGCGGACTTCCTGTCGATCGACAAGCAAACGATGTCGCGGCGCAATGTGGAGCTTCTCTCTGGCACGAATGCGTTTCGACGAACTTGCTCTTCTGGAACGCGAAGATCGCCAAGGCGAGGCAGACGATGGAACAGGGCAGTAACGTCAGAGTGCATATTTCCAGAACCTTCCAGAACCGGCCCTTCGAGGGCCGAGGTTTGGTTAGGCTGTCCCCGTCGGAATGAGACAAAAATAATCACGAACATTTATTTATTGTTAAGAATTATTATTATTAGCATTTTCCTTTTTTTTAAATTGCAGTATCCAGTCGTTCCAGAAGAAACACGACGATGAAATCCCAAGTCGCATTTGCATCTGCCCGAATCCGACGGCGGACTCACGACGTATCCGTGGAGACTCATCAGCACCGCAAAGTTGCTCGGATGAGTCGTCTCGCAGACGGTGTCGTCACGGTCGGCGGATGTCGTTCTCAGACCTCCGTCCCAAAATCCCCCGCACATTTTTTTTTCAAGATTTGCACGTGCAAAATAGGAAATGGAAGTTTCCGCAAGAAGTTTCCTCACGTTCCGTCGAAGTTCCAGAAGGTGCATCGCTCGGTTTTGGGAACGAACGCGGGCTTCTCTCCCTCGTGCAGATCCCGCCAGATGTCTCTGTACGGCGGATTTTCCGGCGGCCGGTCGTTCCGGAACGTCAGGGTCGCCGGGCTCTTCGGCGCGACGACGGTCCCGTTGACGGTCAACGAGAAACTCACCATCTTCGAGTTCACGGCTAGATCCGCTCCGAGTCTGGCATTTC